GTCGTCGTCTTCGTCGCCGCCGCCGCCGTCGTCGCCTTCGTCGTCGGCAGACGTCGGCAGAGAAGGCGATCAATCATGTCTCCAGTCAACTTCCCAGACAACTCTCCGGAAACGCGATGGCACTTCGGAGCCCCTGGAGACTCGGGCCCACGATGAACCATGTCCCTGGAAGGCCTTCTGGGGAAATGACTTGTCGGCGTGTGTTGGGGGGCCACTTGGGCGTTCCCTGGAAGCCCCTTTGGGGCCTCCTGGAGCTTCCTGGGGGCCTCTTGGGAACCTCACGGCGCTTCTTGGGAGCCTCTTGGTGGCCTCCGGGAGCCTACTGGGGGCCTCGAGGGCCAGAGGCCTCAAAATATCGGTTCGCGGCCCCCCTCTGGGCCCCCTCTTGGGGCGCTCTTGGGGCACACTTGGGTTGTCTGGGGAGCCTCCTGGGTCGTGTTGGGGCCCACTTCGGGGCCTCGTGGGATGTCTTGGAGCGATCTGAAGGGCCTCCGAGGCCGTGAGGGAGCGTCGGGAAGCGGGCGGGAAAAGCGAGAACGCCCAAATCCTCCAAACACCATCGGAAATTTACAAAATTTGCCTCCCAGGGCCCTCTTGGGGAGCCTTTTGAGGCAATCCTGGAGCGTGTTGGGGTCCTCGTCGACCGTCTTGAGGGCATCTTGGGCATCTTCGGGGCCTCTTGGGACCGTCTTGGGCCCTGTTGGGGCCCACTTAGCCTGTCGCGGCTCGTTTCGAGGCGGGCACGGGCCTTCTCGGGAGCTCTGGGACCCCCGCAGAACCCCCGTGGGGCGCCCACGGAGGGTACAGGCACCGGCCTGGGCCCCACCGACTTGGGGCCCTCTTGGTGTGCTCCAAGGCCGTCTCGGAGGCCATCCTGGGCGTCTTGGAAGTCTCTTGGGCCGTCTAGGGGGCCGTCTTGGGGGGCCTCTTGGGGCCGTCTTGGGGGGCCGTCTTGGGGGGCCGTCTTGGCCCGTTTGGGGCCGTCTTGGGAGGCATCTTGGGCCGTTCTGGGGCCATCCTGGAGGACTCTTGGGCGATCTAAGGGCGATCCTTGGGGCTCTCGGACCGTCTCGGGCCATCGGAAGGCCGAACAAAAAGCAAATGCACAAATCCTTCAAAAACCGACGGAACATCAATGATGTTGGCCTCTTGGAGGCTTCCTGGGCCGTCTTGGGCCGTCTTAGAGCCATCTTGGGCCGTCTTGGTGGGCTCCTGGCATGTCTAACGCCAACTTGGGGCCCTGTTGGGGTGCTCCAGGGCCGTCTTGGAGGCCATCCCGGGCGTCTGGGAGGCCTTTTGGGCCGTTTTGGGGCCGTCGTGGAGGCCTTTTGGGCCGTTCTGGGGCCATCCAGGAAACTTCTTGGGCGATCTTGGGGCGATCTTGGGGGACTGTTGGGCCGTCGGCCCGTATCAAGGTTTACAATGGAAGAATCCGTACACAATCTAAGGGAAATCAATGATGTTGGCCTCTTCGGGCCTTGCTGGAGGCCCTGTTGGAAGCCTCCTGGGCCGTCTTGGGCCATCTGAGAGCCATCTTGGGCCGTCTTGGTGGGCTCCTGGACCGTCTGACACCGTCGGAAGCTGTCTGGACGGCCTCTCTGGGCCGACTTGGGGCCCTCTTGGGGTGCCCCAGGGCATCTTGGAGGCTTCCCCGAGCGTTTCATAAGCCTCTTGGGCTGTTTTGGACCAGGAACGGGGGCCCTGGAACCCCGGTACCCCCATGGAGGGATGGAGCCGGCCCCCCCCAGGGACCTGGAACGCCGGTGTGTGTGTGTGTGTGTGTATATATATACACACATACACGTACAGCTGTGTATCTATGTGTGTATACATATAGAGATTTATGACACCCCGCAATTTCGGATAAAGTGCTAGGGGCGGCGGGGACATAGTCAGTTTCCGACGCTCTGAACAAAAACAACTAAAACCACCTAAAAACTAAAAAACAACTCGCGCGCTGAATATTTACAGATCATACAGCGGGCCTTCCGCTGGCGCCAATTTTTTCGTGTGGGTGGTACGCGGGGTAGGTCGCGGGTTGGTCGAAGGCGGGTCGCGGGCGGGTCGTGGGTGGTTTCTGGGTCCGCGGGGTGGGTCGCGACGTGGATAGACGGGCTGGGTCGCGGCTGGGTCGCATGGTGGGGCGCGGGCGTTGATGGTCGCGGGTCGGGTCGTGGGGCGTCGTGGCGCGGATGTGGTTCGCGGGCAAGTCGAACGTCAGGTCGCGGTTAGAGTCGCGGTTTCGGGGTGGGGTCGCGGCGTGCGGTCGAGGGTGGGTCGCGGGTTGGTCGCGCGGCGTGTGGGTCGCGGGTGGGTCGCGGTGGGCGCGGGTGGGTCGCGGGTGGGTCGCGGGTGTGTCGCGGGTGGGTCGCGGGTGGGCTGCCGGTGGGTCGCGGGGTTGGATCGCGGGCGGGTGGTGGGGTTGGGTCGCGGGTGGGTCGCGGTTGGGTCGCGAGGTTGGTCGCGGGTGGGTCGCGGGGTGGGTCGCGGGGTGGGTCGCGGGTTGGTCGCGGGCGGGTCGCGGGCGGTCGCAGGCGGGTCGCGGGCGGGCCGCGGGGGGGACGACGACATCAACAACAACAACAACAACAACAACAACAACAACAACAACAACAACAACAACAACAACAACAACAACAATTACTAGCACGTGGGGACACTCCGTTCTCACCAGTGCCAGGGTTTTCATAGGAGGCGGGCAATGCCCCCACTTTGTGGGGGGGCCGGTTCAAGCTCTACCAAATTTCCAAACGACTCTTCGCCACCACCCACAACCAGCTTCCCGCCTTTTCTTGATCTATTCGTACTGTTCTTTTTCTCTTCGTATTTATTGTTTTTATTTGATATTTATGTTATTGTGTTTTTATTTCTCTCTGAATCTCTCGTTGCTTTTATGTTCTTCTATTGCTGGTATTTATGTCTCATTTTGTTTTTTCGTTTGTGTTTTTTTTTCAGTTTCCGCTATTTTTCTATCTTTCTATTTATCTTAGTTTTTTTTTGGTTCAAATGACGTTCGGACACTTTTCTTCGTCGTGGCATGCGGACGACCGTGGCTACTATTCAGGGCCCCGCGGCCGACGACGACGGCGTGCGCGCGCGAAGAAAAAACGAATGTGTCCCGCATGGTATTATTTGACAGGGATGATGGCCCTGGCAGGTGCGCAACCGTTCTTGCAGAAGTTCGAAAAAGTTGCTCGCAAAAGCCCGTTTGACAGAAATGTTTAAAAAGTGTTGGGTGTCTCTTTTACTTTCGTTATTATACTTTATATTATCACGAATCCGACAAAGAGCGCGCGGGATGAGATTTTGACATTTTTTTGTTGAAAAACCATTGGTTTTTTGATGTTTTTATGTTGAAATCGTTCCGAACACTAAGCTTTTGGAAGGATTTCGTCTTGCGCGCGCGAATGTCAACTTTACCTTATTTTTTGCAAGGGATTCTTGAAATTTGATTATATTAGAAAAAGAAATGTCATTTTATAGTGTTTTTTGCAAGGGAAAAAAAAAACAAACGATCGTCAACAACACAAACGGATCCGGACCAACCCGTGTTGCCTGAGACTTCCTCACGAAAATGATGAAAACGTGGCTGCGGCCTAGGCGCGGCGGGGGGGTCGTGCACCAGGGGTCCCAACAATAATTATTCTTTAGAAGTAGTAATGTTCAACAACAACAACACCACCACCACCACCACCACCACCACCACCACCAACAGCGACAACAACACCAACACCAACAACAACAACAACAATAACAACAAAAACACAAACAACACCAACAACAACAACAACAACAACAACAACAACAACAACACATCCAACAACAACAACAACGACAACAACAACAGCAACAACACCAACACCAACACCACCAACACCAACACCAACACCAACACCACCAACAACAACAACAACAAGCAGAAGCCGCACCGCGGAGTGTCATTTCAGGCACCCACCCTTGGGGCAGTGAGTGATTGTTCGCCCCCTCTTACTCCGATAAACATATATCAGTATAGCTATATACATACATACATGCATACCTACCTACCGGCCGACATACCTACCTACGTACTTACTTACCTACTTACCTACCGACATACTTACATGCATATATATATGTATCTATATATATAAGCATACATACATATATATATATGCTTCTCTCACCTGTTTTTGTGCACTCCGCCAGGGAGCTTGTCAGGCCAGGACCTCTGGGGGCTACTCAGGGGTCAACCCAGGAGTTGGGAGAGGTCCCGTCCCTTCAGCGGCATCCAAGGGCCTCCCAACCCGCCTGGCACAGCCGTGGCGCTTAAGCACCCGCGCTGCGTCCCAGACGCGCTGGGCCCTTGCCCCGCCGGGAGGTTAAACGTCACCAACCCCTGAACCCCCTAGCTCTCGTCCTGGCAAAAACTCGCGCGGAGGCAGGCACGGCCACGCGCGAGACGGTAGCAATGCTGCCCCCTGTCTGTGGGTGGGCCAACACAGCTACGGAAGATGGATGAAACTCACCGTTATCCATCAACGGCGTCGCGCACGCTCAGGTGGACTCCGCATAGGTTTCCTTGGAAGGTTCATATATGCTACTCTCACCTGTTTTTGTGCACTCCGCCAGGGAGCTTGTCAGGCCAGGACCTCTGGGGGCTACTCAGGGGTTAACCCAGGAGTTGGGAGAGGTCCCGTCCCATCAGCGTCCACCAAGGGCCTCCCAACCCGCCTGGCACAGCCGTGGCGCTTAAGCACCCGCGCTGCGTCCCAGACGCGCTGGGCCCTTGCCCCGCCGGGAGGTTAAACGTCACCAACCCCTGAACCCCCTAGCTCTCTCCACGGTCCCTACCCTGGCAAAAGCCGCTCCCTCTTGCTCTTACTTATGCCCTCCACCTTGTTGTAATGAAATGAGGGAAGAAAGGTGGAGGATGGGCGGGACAGACAGACAGGCAGTACAAAGCAAGAACAGTTCATCTCGCTTCTGCTCGCAGGCGGGACGCGAGCAGGTTGCAGCGCCTCCGATGCGTGGGCGAGAGATTTAATTGAGTGGCCTCGGCGACGGCATCCTGGACATACAAGCGGGCCGTGCGCGCCGAGGCCCATCTGCCTCGGAGCAGCGTCTGCTCCATGGAGCCGCGGCTGCGGAAGTCGGCGGAGGCGCCGCCCCGCCGCCAGCTGTAGAGGGTGAGCTTTGCATCTTGCAGCTCCAGCAGCTCACGCACGCGGCCGAAAGTGTTCATGAAACTGCTTGGCTCCATCCCGAGGCACAAGTCCTGTCCGTGCGCCTGAGCCTTTGCTCTGGCAAGGAGGGCGACCGCTACACCACTCCGCACGAGCACGAACTCTCGGGCACCAGTCTGATGCTGGCTCTTGGTGTTGCGCAGCTGCAGCACGGCCATTCGTCGGAGTGGATACAGCTGTACATCGGACCACACGAGCGAGGTCATCTCACCCGTCCGGAGGAAAGCATCGTAGCCTGCAGCCAGCACCGCCGCAGCACCGAGCTGGCCCACGGCCGCAAATGCACCAGCGAACGCTGCCGCGATCAGCGGACCGATTGGCAGCGCCCGCCCAGCTGGCTCCAGGCGTTGCCACGTCTTGGCCAAGCGCCAGCTGTCCCGCAGGTGCCCTCGCACGGGCGGGAAAGTGTGCGTGATGCCTGCAATTGCATTATTAACCTCAAACAAGGATCCTCCGCTCAGCCAACGGCTCTCAATGAAGGCGGCCACGCCAGCGTCGACCTGAGCGGGCGTCTGCGGCTGCCGGTGCTCCTGGATCCAGAAATCAACGACTTCATCGACTGCCGCACGGTACCGCTGCAGGGTGAGTGGCGTGACCATCGCCTCCCTCAGCGGTTGGGACCTCGCTGCAGCTCGTCGTGCCATCGCCTGGGCCGTGACCCTGCTCACCTTTGCTGCTGCCTGCGCTGCGCGCTTGCTGGGGGCGGCCCTCCTGGCCCTCGCCTGCGGCAGCACTGGGAGCGAGGCAGCGGCGGCCGAAGCTCCAGCGGGACGGCGTGTCGGCGGGCATGTCGTCGGTGTCGCAGTAGCCGTACAGCGGGTACCCAGCCGTCGCGAGGAGCAGGGAGTTGAGCCGGCGGAGTGCGGGCTGCAAAGCCCTCGCGCTCGATCTGCCCTTGGTGCTGACTGCCGCGATCGCTTGGGCATCCAGGATGTGCAGGTAGCGGCAGCGGTGGTTCTCAACTGCTCGGCACCTCCAGCGCGCTCCAGCCACCGCAGCCTCCAGCTCCAGCGCCGAGATGTGCCCGGGCCGCTGCCAGCGAAAGCCTTTGGCGATCCGCCAGGCCCAGAGGTGCGTACGGAGTGCTGCCCGCGGCCACGCGCGGGCGCGGTAGGGCGCCCCGGTGTCGAGCCGGACGTCCGTGCCCCCGCGGTCCGCGACCCTCAGGAACTCTACGATCAGGCTGCGTTCCAACTGCGGGTCGCGATGTCCCGGCTGCTGGAAGTCGGGGACCACGTTCCAGTTCGCCTCGCACGTGCCCACAGCGAGGCAGCTGCTGCCCGGGATGGCGGCCGCTAGCGCCCCCACCTGAGCGAGCCACGAGCCGAGAAGATACATGACAGCCTGGACGCAGAACGTATTCCCGATCAGGGACTCAATGACGCTGTCTCGCTCGGCGGCGGGTGCACTATCTTTTACAGCGGCCTGGAAATAGAGACGGTCGAACCCCATCAGAGCAGCACGCTCCTCAGGCACGGGCAGCCGGCCCCGCTCACGCCTCGCGTCCCAGATGAGGCTGCCGTCCTCGTAGTTGTTGACCTGGTAACGGTAGCTGTCGGCAGCCCAGCGCTCCGCGGCCCGCACCGAGGCGCGGTCGAGGCCCACGGGCCGAAACGGCGGGTGGCGTCGCGGGATCGGCCTCGTAAAACAAGGGAGGTCTGCCTCAGGGTCCAGCGTCGACCAGCCCTCCAGGAGCGAGGCACTCAGTGGGAGCCTCTCCACCGCAAGCGAGACCTTGAAGTACGCGGCTTCACCCACACCCTTGGTCTCGACGGTGGCGTCGGACGCCAAGAACGCCGTGACGGGCCACGAGCACCAGTACAGGCGGGGCCGCCTGACGTGAGTGAGACACCTGGCATCGAGGAACACGGGCGTGACTCCAAGCGCCCTGGTGAACTCCGCCCTCGACTCTAGGGTCATGCTGAACACGTTCTCGACGAACCACATGGTGCGCTTGGGAAAGGCAGCCTCTGCTGCCTGGATCAGCTCGGGGACCCGGAAGAAGAGCCTCGACCTCGACCCCTCTAGGCCGGTCCCCACGGCATTGATGCTCGCAAGGTCTTGGCACGGGCTCCCCGCGGTCAAGACGACCCAGTCGGCGTCCCGCGCGTAGCCCTTCAGCATCTCAGTAAACCGCGCCGTGTCGATGGCCTCGATGTTGCCAAGCTCGATCACGCCCGCCCAGCGGCGACGCACCAGTCGCCGGGCAGCGGGCTCGACCTCGCAGCTGACATGGGCCATCACGTCGATCGGGAGTCTGGAGGCCGCCACCGCGGCCCCAGCGGCGCCTGCGAAGAGCTCGATGAGAACTATGCGAGGGCGCCACCGCACTCCCCGCACAGGGGCCGCAACTGCACCAGGCCGCAAAGTCACAGCCGAAGCTCCCCCTCTCGCGCACGCAACGCCCTGCGCCGAGAGCCCGGCCGCGTGGCAGATGCCCCCGGCGCGCTCGCTGGCATCGGTCGCTATGACACAAGTGTCGATCTTTGCGCGCAGGTCGGTGTAGGCCAGCGGCAGCGCCATCGCGAAGCCCAAGAGCTCGTCGCACATGCCAAGGGGAACAGCCTGCGGACGCGTCCAGCGCCCAGCAGCCCACACGCTGTTGAGGAATCCCATGAAAGGCCTCCTGAACTCCGCCGCCCTGACGCACCTGCCTAGGATCATGAGCATGCCCTGCGACGAGAGGCCCTGTCTGCCCATGCCCCACAGGATGAACGCCAGCAGCTGGTGCAACTTCTCGGTCGTGACTCCGACCCGGCCGACGGCCCCGTCAAGACCCGCGCCCATCCGCTCCAGGACCAGCGCGCGGTGCTTGGCCTTGCCGGGGGCGACGCTGATCCCCGAGCGGTCGTAGGCGGCCCTCTGCTCCTTCTGCGCGCAGCTCATCGTGCCGAGGAGCTCCGCGACCATCGCGTTGGGCACCACCTCGCCATGGTCCCAGTCGTCGATGTAGTACTGGATCCACTGCTGCTCGAGCTCCTTCGACTTGAACGGAAGTGGTCGGTCCCTGCGCCACTCGAGCTCTGCGGGAAACCCCGCAGCGAGGGGGCGAGAGCCGAACCCGAGGCGCCTGTGGCAGTGCTGAAACACCGTGACCGCGTTGATCCAGCCCATCGGGATGACACGCAGCGCGAGGTGAGTCTTCCCAGGACCCGGCACACCGATGAGCTCGTTCGGGATCGCCTCCGCGAGGGTCATGTATGGCTGCCAGGCCTCGGGCAGCTCGTAGCAGTAGAAAGCGGAGGCTTGGTCATCTGAGGACCAGAGCAGCATGTGGCCCTCTGGGAGCGGGATGGCGACCCACGAGGGCGACGCGCTAAGGGTCCCGATGTCATCCCTCATGATGCGCTGGTAGCTGTTGGCCGGGACCATGTTGATGATCAAACGCTGGACGCACGCCTGGCCAGGTGACGGCGTGCCTCCCTTGGCGACCCCGAACGCCCCAGCGAGCACCTTGCGGCTCCCGACCTTGAAGATGCGGTCGTCGGCGATCGGCGCCGCCAGCCCCAGCTCGACGAGCTTGGTCCCGATGCGGTACCACTCCTGCTTGGACGTGACCTGGATCGCCGCCCGCGGGACCTCTGCAGGCCACTCATCTCGAGGGAGCAAAGCCAGCGTGGGGTCGGCAAGCCAGGCGCCCACCTGAGCGTCCGCGATGTCGACCGCCTTGACAGAGGCGGCGACGCCTCGCGCGGGGAGGCCTGGCATGATGCCCGCAAGCGAGAGCGGCAGGGCGCGGGCCGTCTCCTCGCCCCCGTAGGAGACGGTCCTCGACGCGATGACCTGGTCCCAGTCCGGGAGCTCGAAGGCTGTGGCGGCATCCTGAACGAAATACTCACAGGCCTCCTGCACAATGCCGAGCGCACTGACCTGGCTTGCCGTGGGCCGCCTCGCGGCGACGGTGGGACTACGCATGTGCCCCGTGTACTGGTAGTTCAGGCTGAAGACCACGAGCTGGGCCCACCCCTGCGCCGTGGCGGCGTCCACCTCGCAGGTCTCCGGCAGCTGCTGGTGCAGGTACCAGGCGGCACGGTACCTCTCAAAGAGTGGGGCGTCGGGCAGCGGTAACGGCAACACCTCGCGCAGCCGCGCGAAGCTGGCCGTGGGGGCTGGCGAAGTGCACATCTTACGAACGTACCGCCCGATCGCCCCTGGCGAGCCGTGCACCGCCTCGTGGACTGCGAGGGCGAGCCTGAACTTGGAGCTGACGCCTGTGCCCACCTCGGCTAGCATCTGGCGCCACCGCCGAGCCTGCGAGCTGCCGCGTAGCTGCCGCTCAGGCGGGCGGAAGGAAGACGGGAGCGTGCTCTGGGCCGCGGCCTTAGCCGCGTCGGCCCTCACGCCCGAACCCAGGCCGTCCTGCGAGCAGTGCTCGTGCCGCGGCTCTTCCCCGTCTTGCCTTCGCCGCGGCTCTTGGCAGCCAGCGGCCTCCCGATGCGCGCCTTCCACGCTGCCTGGGTCTCGCCCTCGCGCCTCGGGTGGGCCGCCTTGTACTGCGCGAAGCTCCGGCCTGCCGCCGCCTCCGCTGGTGGCACGCGGGCGGCGGCTGCTGCGTCGAGGTCCCCCTCCGAGTCGCTCAGGAGCTGGACTGACCGCGTGGGACTGCGGCTGGTCCTCCGCGCTGCTGGCGGCTTCTTCCCGGCGGGGGGAGCTGCGGGACCGTCGCCTGGAATTCGTCCGGCAAGGATCCTCATCGCCTCGGGCGATCCCGAGACTGGCGTCCCGGGAGCAGGGGGCGGGGGGCGCGCCTCCGCGCGCCCATGGCCTGCAGGTGCCGTCCCCCCCTGCAACGGAGACGGCTCCCGGCCAGACCCCTAGCCCGGCCTGCGGTCTGCAAGTCGCTGGCGGAGTTCGGCGACCTTCAGCTCCCGGGCCTCGACCTTCTCGGCAGCGTTCTCCTCGTCCAGAGAGGCGCCTGATGGAAGCTGTTCCTGTGCGACCAGCGTGAGCCACCGTGCCGACCGCCAGTTCCCGTCGCGGATGGCCATCGTCCGCGCCTTGAACTCCTGCATGAGCAGATCCGCAGTCTCGACGACCTCTCCGCGCAGGATGCCGTCGAGCGCCAGCCCCAGCGTGCGGAGGACCCGCACCTCGTCTGTCCCCAGCGTCCGCGGCGGGTGAGCAACGAAGAACACCGTGTTCAGGAACTGTGTGACGCACGGGGCCAGAGGGTCGGCCTCGCCTGCGGATAACTGCTGGGTGAACTGGCTGCGCAGGTGGCCGAGCCCATTCTCGAGGAGAGCGCCGGGCCGCTGCCGAGCGATCCTGCGGAACAAGTCGCGCTTGATGTTCACGCCCTGGTAGCGGTCGCGGCCCCCAAGGCGCTCCGTGTCGCTCTCCGCGCCGTCCTCCGCGTCGTCGTCGTCGCGCCCCAGGAGCGCAGCGGTCAACGCTGACGCCAGCCTGCTCCTCGACCCCGTGGCGCTGGCGCGCGCAGGGGCAGCAGCGGCGGCTCGGCCAGCTACCACCTGCGCCAGGCGCTCGCCCACGGCTCCCGCTGGACGCGCAGCATTCTTGGGCGTGCCCTGCCTCGGCACACCACGAGCTGCCCTGCCCCCGAGCCGCGCCAGCCGCGCCTCGAGCTCTGGGTCCTCGGCGGTCTCCTCGAGCCCCGCAATCTCCTGGTCGAGTGGGCTCGTCTCTCCTGGTCCGCCAGGGGTCTGGGTGCCCTCCACCTCGCGGGCCCGCTTGCGCGGAGGCCCGCGAGGCTCCTCCTCGTCCTCGTTGGCCCCATCCCCGAGCGGCCAGCCGCCGAGCTCTCCAGGCAACGGCTCGGCCGAGGGCGCGTCGGTCAGCACAGGCGCCCCAGGATCCGCGGCCGGGCAGATGAGCTTCGCCTGCTCGCGGGCCACATCGCGGGGGTCCACCACCTGCCACACGTCCAAGTGCTCGACTACAGCGCCCACTGGGGCGACCGCCCCGCACTCGGCGGCGCTGCACTTGCAGAGGTGGAAGACCGTGGCCAGGGGGCGCGCGCCCTGCTGCCCGGAGGAGGCTGCTTACCATGAGAAGTACGGGTCGCTGGCGCCCACATGCCGGCCCTTGAAGAAACGGCCGAAGGCGTCCGCTTGGTAGGCGACCTCCACTTCGAGCATCTCGACGCCCTGCGGCGCCCCGAAGTCGTCCTTGACACGCGCCAGGACCCGTGCACCAGCCCACAGCGGCAGCCCCGGCACCAGGTCGCCGTTCAGCGCCGCGTCGAGCCAGGCCCCTCTCGGGAAGGGCCACCCGACAGCTGCCGGGGCTGCCCGCTCCATCGGGCTCCTCGCCAGCAGCAGCGCGGGAGAGGGGCGACCCGCGCCCGGGATCCTCGTCTCCCAGCCAGGTCTTCGCTCCCCTCAGCCCGCAAAGTCTGCCAGCGAGGCTGATCAGAATCAGTCGTCCGAGCGTGGCCCTGCAAGCGGCCGCGCTCGGCGCGGCAAACTTTCAGTAGACAGAGTGGCTCGGCAGCGGCCACAGACGGGCGGCACCGCCCGGTGACTCCGCTGCCTGTCTCCAGCCAACACAGCTACGGAAGATGGATGAAACTCAACCGTTATCCATCAACGGCGTCGCGCACGCTCAGGTGGATTCCGCATAGGTTTCCTTGGAAGGTTCATATATGTGTGTGTGCGATTTCACGTATATAAACAAGCAGCGCAATGGAAAGGGATGGGAGAAAGGAGTAGGATGTCATATGTGGGGCGCGCACACCTAGCTTGGCTTCTCCCCCTCCACCATCCCCCACCCCATCCCCTCCCTACCTCCCGCGGGGCACATCGCCTGGCGCTCCTCCGTGCGTGCTCGCCGGCAGCAGGATCTGCTGGGACGGCAACGCATGCTCTCCCCTCTCCGGCAGCTCTCCTGGAGTGGGGGCCGGAAAAGGCCATCGTGAAGATCTGCCCATGGGAGGGGGAGGGGGAGCGAGGGGCAACGTCAGGGGGGAACCAGATCAGGAGGGAAACATGAACCTGAAATCGGCGATACATCGCCGATAGATCGGCTACGAGCCCCCGACGGCGAATCCACACGTTCCTGGGCGGAATGAGGCCGTCGGGCAAACATCGGCGACCAGTGGTCGATTGGAGATCGATGCATCCCCCTGAGGCTATCACCCCCGAACGTTGCCCCTGAGGTAGGAGGGGAAGGAGGAAGAGGAGGGGGGAAAGCAGGGCGGTAAGCAGAGGGGAGGAGAAAGACGAGGAAGTGGAAGGCGGCCCCAAATCGACAAATCCACATTGAGAGTTCCATGCATGCTGAAGAGCCACTATCGACAGCAGCGTTCAATCCCTGCCCCCCCGCTGGGGAGGGGAGAGAGCAGGAGAGGAGGGTGAGCGCCTTCACCCCTCTGGCCCCCTGGTGTGGGGCAGGCTGTGGAGGCCACTAATCGTCCCCCTCCCCTTCCCCTCCTCCAACTCCTCCTCCTGCTACTGCTCCTCCTCCTCCTCCTACTCCTCCTCCTGCTCCTCTATCCTCCTCCTCCTATTCCTCCTCCTCCTCCTCCTCCTCCTCTTCCTCCTCCTCCTCCTCCTCCTCCTGCTTTTCCTCCTCCTCCTCCACCTCCTCCTCCGCCTCCTCCTCTTCCTCCTCCTCCTCCTCATACATATCTATCCTCCTCTATCATCCTTTCCTTCCGCTCCTCCTTCCCCTCCTCCTCCTCCTCCTCCTCCTCCGCCTCCTCCTCCTCCACCACCTCGCCCGCTGCGCTGGCCCCACGCACATCTTTGAGACGAGTGTCCGCCAATGCAAGGCGCATAGGAGCAAAACGCGCCCACCACCTCTGGGGGTGTGCCTGGCCAGAGGGGGACAGAGCCCCAAGGCGAGAGGCGAAAGACCACATGGGGCCCGCGACAGGCCAAAGACCATCTGGGTCCAGCGACAAGCATGCTCCTACTTATCATCACCCTACCCATCAGCAGCAGATGCAGCAGCACCTGCAGCCGCAACATTGCAATAATAACAACAACAAGGATAACATGAATACTAATAACAATAGTAACAGTAACAGTAACAGTAACAAGAGCACCAAAGAGAAAAAAACATAACATCAACAACAATGATAATACAAACATAAGCATCATCATCATCATCATCAACATCATCAGTGTCATCATCATCGGAATCACTCATCATTAACATCATCATCATCATGATCATCATCATCATCATCATCATCATCATCATCATCATCATGATCATCATCATCATCATCATCATCATCATCATCATCATCATCCGTCAATCAATCAGTCAATCACCATCATCATCAGCATCGACATCATCCTCATCATACTCAACATCAGTATTATCATCAGCAGCAGCATCATCAGCACCGTCATCGTCATCATCATCAGCATCAGCAGCATCATAGCAGCAGCAGTAGCATCATCATCATCATCAGCATCATCATCACCACTACAACCTCCATTATCATCATCATCATCATCACCATCATCACCATCATCACCATCATCATCATCATCATCATCATCATCATCGCCATCTCTCTCCATCATCACCATCACCATGACCATCACCATCACCACCAGTCATCACCACCATCACTGGTACCATCACCGTGAACATCGACGTCACAAAAATAACAATTCGTCATCTGACAGCAATCAACAATTAGCACAATCGTCATCATCATCACCCATGGCCACCACAACCATCACCACCTCAACCACTAACACCGACATAGTCATCATCATCATCATCATCACTAGCCGAATCAGCATCACAATCATCAGCATCAGCATCATTAGTCGCAGCATCATCATCAGCATCAACATCATCAGCATCCCCATAATCTACAGAACCGCCTTCAGTATCAGAAGTATCATCGTTATCGTGCGCAACCTCACCAGCATCAACATCACCATCATCATAATCATCATCATCAACATGATTTAATCCGCAGCATCAGTATCGTCATCATCAGCATAATCGACATCATCATCATCATCATCAGCATCGTCATCGTCATCATCATCATCAGCAGCATCATCATCATAATCAGCAGCATCATCGACATCATCATCATCGACATCATCATGATCAGCAGCATCATCAAAATCATCGTCATCGTCAGCATCATCATAATGATCATCATCATCATCAGCAGCAGCATCATCATCATCATCCTGATCATCATCATCAGCCTCATCATCATCAGCACCACCAACCTCATCAGCAGCATCATGACCATCATTAGCATCAGCATCGTCATCATCAGCATCGGCAGCAGCATCAGCAACATCATATCCATCACCATAGTCACCATCAGCATCGCCATCATCATCATCATCATCATCATCATCATCATCATCATCAGCATCATCACTGTCATCAGCATCGTCAGCAGCCTTGTCGTCACAATCAGCATCATCGTCATAATCAGCAGCATCATTAGCATCGTCAGCACCATCATCATCATTATCAATATCATCATCGTCATCAAGATCAGCATAGTAGTCGTCAGCATCGTCATCGTCAGCGTCATCATATCATAATCACCACCATGATCATCAGCATGATCAACATCACCAGTGTCATCATCATCAACATCATCAATATCATCATCACGATCACCATCATTATCATCATCAGCATAATCATCGTCATCGTCGTCATTATCATTATCATCATCACCACCATCATCAACATTACCGTCAGCATCCGCATCAGCATCATCATCACCCGCATGATCGTCATCCTAACCATCAACAACCTCGTCAGCATCACGATCACCACCATGATTACCATCATCGTTGCCAGTATCAGCATAGCCATCATCGTCATCATCAGCAGCAGCATCATATCGTCATCAGTATCAGCATGGCAATCATCACCACCATCAGCATCATAATGATCATCAGCATCATGATGATCATCAGCATCATAATGATCATCAGCATTATCATCAGCATCAGCATCAGCATCAGCATCAGTATCAGCATCAGCATCAGAATGATCATCATGAGCGTCATCCCGTCGTCGTCATGGCGGCAGCATCCTCAACATCATCATCAGCAGCATCATCCGCCCCATTTCCGTCCCCCATCCCAATCATCATGCGCATCGGCATAATCCATATGTTCCCCCGTCCTTCCTCACCCCCTCCCCAATACCACCCCTCAGCCTCGTCACCTCCGCTTCTTATTGGCACGCCCGCCACGCCTGAGATGATCTCAAACTTGTGGGGCGCAGCCGGCAGCCTCGGCGAATCGTGGCTCGTCAAGCATGGGCGAAGGTAAGCGAGGAGCCCCGTTCCTTCCCAGCGAGGAGCCCCGTTCCATCCCAGCCTCACCCTCCCGCCCCTCCTTCTCCCCCTCCCCCCCCCCCCGCAAACGAAAAGAGACAGAGAGACAGAGAGAGAGAGAGAGACCTAGCCTCTGGCACGCACTTTAGAATTGCACCGCCCCCGACTTCGTCGGCCCTGATCGTTGGAGGACGCATTCCTGATTCCTGAGCCGACGCCCCTCGCTCGCGACCCTCCCTCGTCCGACTCCGTCCTCGTCCCCCCTCTCATACCACTTCTGTTCAGGCCCTTCCCAACGCGCACCTTCCCTGAGGTTCCGTTTGCTTCCCGCCCCTCCCCGTGCCAGACCCCCTCCCCCCCAACAAACTCCCCCCTCTGCCCCCTCGCCTTCCCTGACCCGTCATCCCCATCCATCTCCCCGTTGCCTCGCATGCCTCCAATCGCCCCACACACACACACATTACCTTTTCCATTCCATTCCAACACTCCTCTGACCCCCTCCCACACCACCCCTCAAACCGGGGGGGCGACAAAAATACCGATATCGCCACTGCCCGGACCTTTTCCAGGGGCGCTTTCTGACCAAGATTCCAAGGCGAGCCTCCCCGATTCCGTTCCGTCACTCGCTCGACCGCGAGGACGTCGGGTTTTACGGTCAATATTTTGGACCTCGACCCATCGGGATGAACCTTTTCGACGAGGCACAGCTTCTGAAGGCCCCGAAGGCGTAAAGGCTTCCGAGAAACGACAAAAACGTTCAAGGCAGTGGTGGCGGGCCTTCCCACAATTCCCCGAAGCCTTCTGCGAAGTTGTTTCCCTACCTAGGCTCTGCCTGAAAGAGTTCTTACCCTGTGAGCTTAAAGGGGCCCGGCAATGTAAATCGCCCCGGGCGGTTCCCCCAGGATCCGCCCCGCAGTTCCCCCAGTTGCGCCCCCTGGGCTCACCCAGCGTAGCTCAGCTGAGCTTAGCTGAGCTTGGCTTAGCTTATCTCATCCTAGCTTAGCTTAGCGTTGCCTTGCCTAGCCTAGCCTAGCCTAGTTTAGCTTAGCTTAGCTTAGATGTGTTTAGCTTCGCCTATCTCATCTTAGCTTAGTATAGCTTAGCGTAGCTTGGCTTGGCTTTGGCTATCTTAGCTTAGCTTAGCCTAATCTAGCTTAGCTTAGCTCAGGCTAGCTTATCTTATCTTAGTATAGCTTAGCTTACCCTAGTGTAGCTTAGCGCAGCGCAGTATAGCACAGCGCAGCATTAACACAGCATAGCATAGCATAGCCAAGCATAGCATAGCATAGCATAGCATAGCATACCATAGAATATCATAGCATAGCATAGCAAATCAAAGCAGAGCATATCATATCATTGCTTAGCATAGCACAGTGGAACATATCATAGCACAGTATATCATAGCAAAGCACAGTACATCATATCAGATCATAGCATTATCATAGCATAGCGCAGCATTGCATAGTATAACATAGCATATCACATCAAATCATATCATAACATAGCGCTGCATAGCAAATCATAGCATAGCCTGGCATAACATCGCATAGCATAGCAGCGCCGAGCATCGCATAGCATAGCATAGCATAGCGCAGCACAGCATACACTATTGTTGCTGTTATATATATATATATAAAAATGTTGCCGCTGCTAATACTATTGTTGCTTTCCTAGAGGCTCCAACTCCTAGGTAGGGTCGCACTGGGATAACCGAAGCCTTATCCGCAGCCACAGAAGCGCTTCAGATGCCCAACGGACTTCCGAGAAGCCCCGCCGTTTTCTGAGAAGACCTATCCCACATCGGCGCGCCGCCGATGGTTTTCATCAGGCGCAGCGCAAAGCGCGCAGGGCACTGCTAGGCGACCCAGGCACGGCCCGAGTAAAGAAAGAAAGGGCCCGAGGACCTCCCCATATGGGGAGTGCCAGCAGGCGCGGCCAAGAGGCCTACGCGCCGTCGGCGGAATCGTCCTCGACGACCAAGTCTCCGACCAGGGCGTCGAGTGCGAAGTCCGCGAACGGCCGTGGTCGACCGTGGCCGCTGGCCACGGGCAAGGGCAAGCCAGTGCGGGGGTGCTGTCCAGCCCACAGGCGTCACAGTCGGGGCCGCGTCTGCGGGGGAACGGTCCCCAGGCAAGGCTGCGCGAGGAGCTGGGCGCTGTCACTCGGGTGCGCGCCGCCGAGGGGAGGAGGAGGAGGAGGAGGAGGAGGAGGAGGAGGGGGGGAGGAGGTGGACGAGGTGGAGGAGAAGGAGGAGGACCAGTGTAAACCCAAGAGTCATCAGCGATGTGGGAACAAACCCCACCCCCCCCAAGCTCCCTCTCCATAGGCCCCTTACAACGGTTCATTTACATTGAGGGAACTGCCTCGTTGGAAAACAACCGCCGTTGACCACAAAGCATGCCAAAATTGCTCTCGGGATTCCAACGCCACGGATCAACCTGACTATTGCGTGTTGGCGATCCTGCATCGTGTTAGAACGCCATTCCTGGGACTTCAACACAGCGAATCAACGCAACTGTCGCGCCCGCGTAATCCTAGATCCGGTTCGAAAAAAACTGCGCTAAAGCAAGAACCGCGTTTCCAAAAAGAATCGCCCTCGATCCGTAAAACTCTTCACCCAAATACAAAAAAATGAATGTACGCCGCGCTAAAGCGAGAACGACATTTTGAAAACGACCCGCCCTCAAAACACGAAGCTCCTTGCGAACGTTTAAAATGAATGTGCGCCGCGCTCAGGCGAGAGCCACAGTTTGGAAACGGCCCGCGCTCCATCTATGAAGCTGCTGCCAATGTTTAAGCTTCAGAGTCATTAGTGGCGAGGGAGTCTCAGGCGAAACGCCTGGCCCGCCCTGAAAACTGGAGGGGCGACCGTCCCAGGAGAGTTCGGTCCCCGCCTAGGGCCGCAGATTGCGCGCCGAGCCTCTCAGGCTCGCGTCGAGGAAGTCCAGGGCGTCGTTGGCGGGGGACAGACCGACCGAGTCGAGGGGCGCGCCGACGGAGTACGCCAGGGTGGACACGACGACGCCGATCTCGAGCATGTCAGCAGGATCGTAGTCGGGAAAGGCTGCACCATACAGATTCATCACCATGCCAGGGTCCGCCAGCTCAGCCCCCAACAGAGAGTCACGCGCAGCATCATTCGGATCGCCAGGGGCGGGTACATGTGGTGAATGTGGAGCATCCACCGCTTGATCTTCTTCGCCAGGAGCTGCATCATCAGCATCATGAAGCCCATGTGGAGGTCGACCACCAGGTGGGTCGCCCTGCACACGTGGAACTCGGTGCACACGATCTACGGCGTCACGATCAGACGGAGGACGGCCCACAGATTGAGGCGCGAGGTCAGGAAGTGCATTGTGGGCCACAAGCAGAGCTCCACCCAACGAGCCATCAGGGTAGATGACCCCAAAGCCGTGTGCAGCCATCGTCGCATCGAAGTCGCCACCAGCGCTTGTCGACTCAGCCGACGAGCTGCTCTTTCGCAGGACCGTCCTCGTTGCGGGTGAGGCAGGGCGCGGGGCGCACCGCGAAGAGCTGGCTGCGGGGTCGCGGGTCACAGCCTCATCGGGGCTATCACGAGAACGTCGTAGAATACGCTGGAGTTGGCGATCAAATTCCCCATCGCTGAGTACTGGCCCATGATGTGGTCCATGTTCTTCATCTTGCATCTCAGCGTCAGACTCGTGGTCCGTCAGACTGTCGCCGCCACCCGCGTCCGAGATCATAGCCTCGAGGACCATAGGGGAGGGGTTCGGGACACCTTCGCGGTCGACACTGCCAAAATCTTCATCAGGGAACACTTCGTACAGGGAAAGCGGCCCTCTCGCCGGGCCCGCGAGCAAGTTCGGAAGAATGAGGAGGTGCGGTAATGCCTCAGGCGGTGCAACCGGGGAGGCCGCCGTATTCTGAATCAGGTAGTCGTCGCGGTTGGCAGCGGACACGCGGTTCGGGTCGGCCCGCCAACCAAGATTCTTCAAGTGTGCAAGGACCAGAAGACGGAGGCGCCGCATCCGCTTCCCATCATGCTCGGGCCAGGGGTCACGAAGGAGACGACGAAGTTGCTCACGTGCAAAGGCGCTGCTGCACCAGCCGCCGAGACACCAGTCCAGCGCGAGTTGTCTCCGATTCGCCCAACCACCGCCCAGGATTTGAAGGTCATCATACCTGAGCACGTTCTCCACGTAGTCAGTACACCATTGCATCCATTGTTCGCAGTCCGTTCCGCATGCGTTGATCAGCAGCGATGGTATCCAAACACGGGCCCAAGCTTCGATCCTGTCCACCAGAGTCTTGCGCCGCTCTGCAATCGGCAGGTCAGACTCTTCGGGCGCGGGGAAAAAGGATTCAATAAGCGCAGGAAGACCGTCCTCGTTAATCGTAGCTGCAATCTGGATAGCGCCCTCGCTGTCCCCTGCTAGCCCTTCAAAGTGGCTAGAAACACCACCCACAAGGTCAGTGCGGCTGGCCGACGAGTCCAATAAAGGTGGCGATGGAATCGACGCACTCGTCGCAGTTGTATATGAAGTGCTGGTTATGTCCCCATGGGCGGCAGCCAGCGGCTGAAAGATAAGCCCCAGCGTGAAGACGATCATGGATGGCATGTCGTTGGGAACCCCAGCTTGAGCCGCAGTGCTCTGCAGAAGTGACACACTGCATACCGGAGTCGCTAAGCAACGGGAAGCGGACTGCCAAGCTTCGCTACCCAGTGGCTCGGATCCCTCCTGCATCCCATGCACCACCTGCCCCGTACCAGTGACAGTGGGAATGTCAAGAGACGCCGCAAGACCAGACGAAGTAGCAGCAGCATAAGGCGACGGTGGTGTCGATGGTCGACAGCAAGAGGATGGCGGCGTTGACCTCGGTGAAGCAGGTGACGAGGACAAGCTCTCCGCGAGAGCGAAGGCGCCTTCAATGATGTCGAGAGTTGGCATCGATGGCGGGGAGCAGGACAACTCG